ACTGCGGGGTGGGTCTGGGGTGGCTCCTTGGGCCTGGGATCCCTGGGGCGCATTGCCCTTGGGCGGGGTCCCCGGTGGGGGTTCGGGGGTTCGGGTTCTGTGGGGAGTGCTGCTTGGGTTCTGGGCCGGTGTACGCCTGGCTGTCTGTCCCTGCTGCCACGGCCTCTGGTGTGCCGGGGTGCCTCGGGGCCTGCTGGGCTGGGGGGGGGCATGGACATTAACACCTATGGCAAGTGCTTACCCCCTCACGGGTTTGCACTCTGTAAGTGGGGGAAGGGGAGGGAGGGGGAGTAGGTATGATCTCGGCCTGGATGTCTTCTGTCGCTTGTGTGGTGAGTAGCTTGATTGTTATTGTAGGGGAGGGATTACATCTCCGGAGGGGGGGTGGGGGGTGGTGATAGAGGGAAGAAGATCTTTGAAGGGCTTTGGGTCTGGCTCCCTGTCTTGGTCCTGGTCCGTGCTGCCCCCTGGTGGGGCTTCGTCCGGGGTGGGGGCTCTGCGTGTTGCGCGTTGGCTGGCCGGCTGGGATTGTCCCTTCCCTTATTCATTTATTTATTTATTATTATTATTTTTTTTCTTATCTTCCTTTTATATTTTTTTATTTATTTATTTATTTATTTTTTTTTTTATTATTATTTTTTTTTATTTAATTTATTTATTTATTTTTTTTTATTTTATTTATTTATCTACTTATTTATTTATTTATTTTTTTTATTATTATTATTTTTTTGGATGGACAGGACGGGGGGGGGGTGGTGGAGTCGGCTCCGTGCCCGGCTGGCTGGTGGGTCCTGCTGCCGGTCCCGTGCCCCCGGGCTATGGTGGTGAAACTGGTGGGGCCCCCTTCTCTGGGGGGGCTCTCGGGGAACGGGGGTGCCTATTGGAGTCAGCGGGGGAGCTGGCTCCCTGGGAGTGCAGCAGGCACCCCAGTCCTTTGCTCCCCATCCCCGAAATCCTCCCTCTGCCTGCTCCATCACTCGGCCACACATGTAGGTTTTTGGGGAGGGGGTCGTTACTGGAGGGCCACACCTTCTGATGACGTCCCCCACCCCAATTTTATTTTGCATTTTAGACACTTCCATCTACATCATTTTCACAACACACATCTATGTAGGGCATTTTCGGGGGGTGGGGGTCAGGGCCACCGGGGGGGGCTTATTTTATGGGCCTCACCACGGTCGGCCTCCTCCATCCCCTCTCGCATCTAGACATTGAGGGTTGAGGGTTGTCGAAGGGGGAGGGTGTGCTGGCACCGTCTATCTCCTGGAGGGGGGGTGGAGTGTGCCGGACACCCCCTCTTGGTACTCCCAGTTTTAATTGCATCTGAGAGCAACACGCAACAACACCACATTCGAGCGGGCGCAGTGAGGATCGGGGTCTTCTCACACCCCTTGTTCTCCGGCTGCCGCCTGGAGTCTGGGGCCTGGAGGAAGAGCGGGCCACCTGGTCCGTGTTTTTGGCTGGGGCTGGCTGCGGGGCCTAGGTGGCCTGCTGGTGGCGGGGCTGTCACCTCTGCTCTCCCCAAAGAAGGTTGGATGGAGGGGCATGAAGTGCCTGGTTGAAGGTTTTTTTTTTTTTTTTTTTTTTTTTTTTTTGTTCTTTTCGGGGGGGGGGGGGGCGGTTCTGGTTGGGTGGCCGGCGCGGGATGGGTGGGCCCCGGTCCCGGGGGGGGCTCTTGCGGGGGGTGGTCCGGTCCGTGTGCGGGGTGGGGGGCCGGGCTTGAAGCAGGAAAGAGATGGGTTGGTGTGGCGGTGTCGCCGCTCCCCTCCCCTCACATCCGGATTTTAGGTTCACTTATGGGGTCATCCGATAGTCCCGGGACCGACCACCGGTGTCACCGGGTTTTTGGTCCTGGTATTATTGGATGTGAGTGTTATGTGTGAATGTGTGTCTGCGTTGTTATTTTCTTTATTTATTATTATTATTATTTTATTCAATTTTTTTTTTTTTTTTTTTTTTTTTTTTTTTTTTCCTGTGGTACGAGTGGGGGCACTAGGGAGGGAAGGCATGATTGAGATGGTGTGTTTTTTTTTTTTTTTTTTTTTTTTTTTTTTTCTTTCCCAGGTTGGGGTCTCAACCGCACCCTCTCCCAAATACATCTCAAGTCTCCGCTAAGTGCGGAGCCCATTCCCCCCGTCCTGCTCTCCCTCCGCTGGCTGGCGTCGGGGCTCACCGGTGCACTGGTGGAGCTGGGGGTGGATGCCCGGGGGACTGCTGGCTCATTCCTGGCGGCCTCTCCACTGGCCCCGGCCGGCCGGGGCTTTGCTGGGGCTCCTGTCTGGGGGTGGGGTGCCCTTGGGGCCTCGGATCCCTGGGGCCTGGGACTGGATCCGCTTCGGGGTGGGGCTGGGTGTTGTTCGGGGATTTTCGGGGTCGGTGCCGGTGCCTTCGCTACGATGCCGGTTCCTGGGCAGTGTTTCTTTCCTATGCCGGTTCTGTGGTATCGGTTCGGGGAGGGGGGGAGCTGCGCGGCATGGTTGGGTGCGGGTCTTGGGTCCTGTTTTGGGCTCCGGTTTTTCCGCTCGCACTTCTCCTCTTGCCTATTTATTTTAATTATAATTATTAATTAATTTATTTATTTACCTATTTATTTGTTATTTTTTTTTTTTTTTTTTTTTTTTTTCTCTTCCTCGGTGGGGGGGGAGCGGTTGCGGGCGGGTCGGTGTCTGGTGTCCGCTGTCGCATTGTGGGGGCCCCTTTTTTTTTTTTTTTTTTTTTTTTTTCTCTTTTTTTCTTTGGGGGGTTTGGCATGTCTGTTTTCTCGGGGGGCAGGCGGGCCTGCTGGGTGGGGGTCCTGCTGGCGGCGCGCCGCTGGTGTGTGGGGGTCCGGGCGGCTCCGGCGGGGGGTAGTGTTGGGGGGCCGGTCTGGGCGGGCTGGCTGCGCTGGCTGGGTATTCGGGTGGGTTTTCCCTCCTGGAGGCATGGCGGGGCTGCTCTGTTCCCACTGATCGCGGCGGGTGGGGCTGCGGGGCGGGTGTGGGCCTGGGGTGGCTATGACCGGCGCGTGGTGGGGGGCCGGGGCGGCGGAGCTGCTCTGGCCGCGTGTCGGGGCCTGGTGCGGGCTGCGGGGGGGGTGGCGGACGTGGCTGGGCTGCTTTGGCATCGTCCGGTGGGGGGGGCGGCGCGGTTCGCTCCGCTCTGGCTTTGTGCTGCCCCTCGGGCTGCTGGGGGGGGTGGTTGCGCCGGCTGCGGTCTGCTCCTCTTGCGGTTTTGCGCCGGGCGGCTTTTCTGCTCTCGGGCTGATTCTGTGCGCGGTGTGTTTCGTTGCGCGCTGTTGGCATCGGTCTTGGTGGGGTGGGGCTGCGCTTTTGGCCGGGGGGGCGTTTTGGGGGGGGTCCCGCGGCACTCGTGGCCGGTTCGCGGCGGATGCGCATGGGCCCCGGCCGGGGGCGGGGCCGTCTTAGTGTTTTCCTGGGTGGTGCGGTCGCGGTGGGTGTTGCGGCCGGTCGCCGGGGCTTGGTGCGGGGGGGCGGGGCGTGTTTCGGTGCTCTGTGGGGCTGGGGCGTTTCGGTCGGCGCCGTGGGGGGGCTGGTGTTCGGCGCCCGGCCCTACTTCGGGGTGGCCGGCTGCCGGCGGGGCCCGCGGACTCGTCCCCGCGGCTCCCCGGGGCGCCGGCATGGCGGTGGCTGGGGGGCTTCCTCGTGGCTGTCTCTCCTCCTGCCTTGGTGGGGTCTGATTTCCGGGGCTGGCCCCGCCTTGGTGCCTTCGCTTCTGGGGTCCCCTTGGGCGCCTGGGGCTTTGGGTCTCCCGGCGCTGGACTCAGTGCTCTGGGGGGTGTGCCTCTCCGGCTCTCCACAACCACTATTGAGCATTTTTTTCTATGGTTAAAACTTTACATGCACAAGTTCACCCTCACAAACAACTACAGGTGCTAGGCTTCAGGTACTTAGAGATTCACTTCCAAACAGAAACCCCACATTCATATCTTCAGGTAACACAGAGTACATGTCAGACTTAATAATATTACTTTAGTGATAGTTTCAAGGTGTTTGCTTTATTGTATATCTCGTACCATGTTTTTTGGTTGTGCTGTTCTTTTTTCTTTTTTTTTTTTTTTTTTCTCCATCTCATTACAGGTGTTGAAGCAGACTGAAAATGTTTTGTCATTGTCTCCTTCCTATCTCCTCTTTCTTTCATCTTTTGTCCTGTTTTTTTCTTTTTCCTTCTTCTTCTTCTGTTTTTCTGCTCTACTTACATTGCAGTGTCCATATGAACTGTAAAACTCCCTGCATAATTATAATAAAGCAATTTATATACATGAAACAAGTGGAGCGGTATGGCAATTGCGATACCGCTACACTTGTGAAAGTAAAATCTGTTGGGCTCCTTTTGGCATCAAGACAATTATTCTTATTGCCACCTTGCCAGACAGGACACTGTAAAAAAAAAAAAAAAAAAAAAAAAAAAATGCTTTTTGCATGACTTTCCTGACACTATAACCAAAAGGTTAATACAAAGGTTAATACAAAAACACAGCTGTGAACTGGAGGTATTTGTTGTAATTTCCCACAGGTAAAAAGAAAATAAAAGTGTGATATGTTCGTGCCGAGGAGGGAGTGAGGCAGTGCTTACAAGACAAAGAAAATGTCTTTAAAGTTCTTCTCTCCAAAGTCATCTGATACAAAAAGACTTAAGCTTTGGGGGGTTGGGGGATGTTTAGTTCTGAACACAAGGGCTGACTTTGAAACTTTAAACATACATCCCTGCTTTCATCATAGTTTCGCTCTGCTTCCAAATTTTTATAAAGAAGTAAGGTGGGTTGTTCAAAGATTTACTTCCAATGAAAACGATAAAGGCAATGAATAAGGCGGGGTAAACTTATGATGGCTGTTGTTTTAAAGTGCAACAAGAAGGGACAATATTTTTCAAGATTGCGATGGCATTCAGGGGTTTAACAATCATGAAAAACAAACTGCTACAAAACATGGTTTTGTTACACGTTACATATTTACATTCGGAAACTTCATACTGAAGCCAGATTTTTTCATGTTCCTCTACAGAAGCAGATCTTGCCCCCAAACGTGAGGGGCCGCCGGGGGAGGCCACCGCCTTGGAGGCCCTCCTGAGGGGGGACAACCTTTTGGAGAAAAAAAACAGCCTCAGTAAAGATGAAGAGACGCTGCTGGAAATACAGGTATGTTTTGGTAAAACCTAGCATTCCAAAGTAGCTGGATGGATTTCATTCTAACCTTTGTTGTTCTTGCAGTTAATAGATGCTTATTGGATAGTAGTTTACTTAGAAGTTTGCATTGTCTTACTACTGAAATGTGCTACATATAAAAAAAAAAAAGACCTTGCCTCAGACCCTATCCATGTGTGTTTTCTTTATCTAGAGAGTCCTGGAGGCAGAGGAAAATGGAGATAGCTTGCATGAAGATGAGGAGCTGGAAGTTGATGCGCCGAAGAAAAAGAACAGGAATAGAGGCAAAGTGGGTGACAAGAAAAAAAATGACTTAATAGTTGGTTAAATATCCATTAGTTCAGAGAAAAGAAACCACAAGCTTTTATAAAATCATAAATGAGGTACTGGACTTTATTTGGGCTGGACATCTGAGCACTCAGATTACTAGAGTTGGTGGAGTTGATTCAAACTGACTGGTTTTCTCTGCAGAAAACTAATCTAGTAACTAGGATTGCACCGATACCGATGCCAGTATCGAGCTGGGCCCCGATACCAGATACCCAATAATGCACTAAAATGGTGGTATCGGTGAGTACCAACAAATAGGGCACCGATACCATTTTGAGAGCCAAAAGTCTATTCAACTATTGTCACCCATTCCAGGTAGGCAATAACAAGTTCTACTGGATTCACTTTGTATTAGTATTTATCCTGCTTCACAAAGGTAGGCAGCAGCTTGACAAAGCCTTGATGGCAATTATTTTACATCCAAGTAGTATGCAGTTCTTCATATATAAACACACACATCAATTTCAAACTGATGGTATCGGCCAATACTGCACAGCAAGGTATTGGGTATCGGTATAGGGCCAAAAATGGCATCGGCGCAAAACTGCTAGTAGCCAGAGTCCATGTATTTTCTAATGGGGGTAGGTCAGACTTGTTTTAGTACCACAACCATGTCTGCTTTACCCATCCCAAAACCAGTTTTACATTTTCCAGTCATTGCTCTTTTGAAAAATCCAACTGTCTTCAGTTATTAAGATGATTAGATGCAGAATTTCCCCAGAACCACTGAAAACTACAAATACCCTCATCATGTTGCTGCCACCGTCATGCTTTACAGTCACTATGTTGTTGTTTTTTTAAAGCTTTGACTCGTGATGTTCACATATCCCTACATTATATTCTCAAAACATCAACACCGTCACTAATGAAGTAGGTGTTTCTGTTGTAGTCTGCACCTTCTCAATACATGTTTTTAATTTTGTGCCACTGTCTACTGAGAAACCGGTGCTTCAGCTTCTTCTAGTTTGTAATAGACTTAAATTCTTCATGGTTCACAGGTTGTTCTTAAGAGATTTAAGCAGTTTTATTTTCCAAGACACATCAAGGCTGATTTTGGACTACATAAAGGGAGCTAACATTAATTTTTTGGAATTGGCTGATCTCAGAAGCCACACTTATGTCAGGAAATCAACCGATATGAATGAATTTTGACATTTCTAAAAAAGAGAGAGGTTGAATATCCTGCCACAAATATGTGTGGTTAAGATGCAAAACATTATGTATATGTACTGCCAATTTCATTTTCTTCTTTTTAAATAAATGCTTAGAAAAACTTTTTGTAAATTGATTCACTCAAGGGAACCTAACACTTAGTTTTAGAAATTTAAGTAATAGCATGAACTATACTGATTTAATTTATAATTAAAGCAGTAATCCTCATAGTGTCACGTGTGATCAATGTTTGGTGTTTTCCTGCAGAGCCGAGGATCAACACGCAGAAGGACGGAATCTGCCAATGCTGAAGACCAGGACAAGCCTTACATCTGTGACAGTAAGGAGACACAAAGCATGTCTACTGATTTATCATTTACCCCATCCTCCTGCTGTTATTACTCTGCTTATCCCATTGCAGTGAACTAAAATGTTCAGTTAGTTAGGTAAAAAAAAATCATGTTGATGAAAAACAGATGTAGCTTTCTCAATTCTCTTAATTGTATCCCTCTGTCTGTTCCTAAAAGAAGCATGTAAAGGGACCCTGATGTTTATGCAGAATTGACCAGCATGCCACTTTTGTACCTGGAAGAAATGTCTCCAGAGTTGGGTTGTTTGCAGACTGAGCCTCATGCAAATCTGTCTCATTTCCATTTTATGTCTCATTCTGTCTTTCCATCATGGTTTGCTTCTGTGTCTTCTCTGTTCCAGATAGGTACAAACAAAAGCATAACTCAAAAAAGACTGAAGAAGGTATCTGAATTTGAACTTTTCTTACTCACAGCTCAATGAGCTAATTCATTGGTCAGCTCTTTTGCTAACTGAGCAAGAACGACTGAGAGGAAGCTTTTGAGGCTGTATGCTTGGGCTTTCCCTGGTGGATTCAGTGCCAACGCTGCATGAAACTAACTCTTTGCCAGTGTTGCAATCGAGACCACACCAACCGACACCAACGAATACTACAACAAGTCCAAGACCTTTATAGGCCCTATATGGTCTTGGTCCTTGGTCTTTGTTGGTGTGGCACTGACTACAACACTATGCTTTGCTATGAGCTTCTGTTTCTGTTGCAAGTTCTGGTATGAGTTCACTGACAGATGCATGCTTTGGGGGATTCTGGGAAGCAGCTGATATCTGTTGAGGAACTGTTACCACCTGATGCAGTTATTCACTGCTGTATGGATGTAATAAAACTTAATCTGTGGTTGGTTTAACACCAATATTTATTTATTTATTTTTTCGGCCAAACTAATGTTTAAACAGAACTGGCTGCAACACAATTGCCAGATTGTGTCTGTGAAGCAGGATGTTGTAGCTCTGATGGTTCATGGTTTGTCAGAGCTACAGGATCTGCCTGGCTTCTTATCACTGAGTTGACAATAAACTCCACACCAAAGAGCTGCATGAATTATCTTCAGGGTCATTGTACTAATTTAGGACTTGATTTCATATTTTTTGTTATGAAAATGCTTCATACTACTATCTTAATCATTTGCTTGAGTTCTCCACATCTAGTTCACCACATCTATCTATGTAGATAGATGTATTATGATACGCAACTTTCAACAGGTCAAAAGTAAGCACAAAAAGCTCTTTCAAAGTAGAAATTTCAAATTTATCACATTAGTTTTATTTGAACAAGGAAACCAATATACAAACAGGAATAAAACGAAATGTAACAAAGACTGAGCAGGACCTCTACCACCTGACTTTGCCTACTGGCAAAGAAAGACTTAGGCCATAATTCGAGCTGTTTTATGGGAGAGCTAAGGTCCAAATAAAGCAGTAAAGTAAATTAATCCTTCTTTAAAAAAAAAAAAAGAATCAGTAACAGTCATGGAGATATATGTCTGGGGAGATAAGAGGTTCATTTTAATCCATGACAAAACAAGGTACTTTGCAACCCTGTCTCTGAAATACATGCATAAGTGTGAGGATGCCTTTAAAAAGTGATGGCATTATTTTTTTTAATCGAAAAGCCAAAGAATTGACATATTTATATATTTTGAATACGTCATTTATGAATTCCATGTTTTTTAAGTCTAAGATAGCATTAAAGGCTGCATTTAAGCTATCATCTTCAATGTCAGCATGAATGTTAAAATCCCTGACTATGATGACCTTTTCAGTATTTAACACTAAAATTCTCTGAAAACTCATCTAAAGGACCTGATGGATGATAAAGTAAAAAAAAAAAAAAAAAAAAGTATGTGGTGACAAAACATTATCTAAATTATTTTCAGCTAAAAAAAACTCCTAATTCATTAGTATAAATCTACCTCAATGTCTAAAGATAACTTTTAATGATAAAGTTTCACACTTACTGTTTTGTGCTGCAATGTTATTTTTTACATTAATTCAGCTGAGAAAGGCTTTCCCAGCTTCTGATGGGAAATTGCTAACGGAGATTTCATGTTTAATTTCCAGTCTGTGGGAAGCGCTACAAGAACCGGCCGGGTCTGAGCTACCACTACACCCACACTCACCTGGCCGATGAGGAAGGCGAAGAAGAGAAGGACGCAGAGATGGCCCCGCCTTCCCCTCGCAACCCAGATAATCACAAACGTAAGTTGCATACTACGGAGGTCATTCCAAAGCTTCTACATTCTCCAGAAGCTTAAATTAGACATGCGTTTTATGGAAGCAAGGATGGAGCATCTTTATCAATATATTGCTCTTCTAATGTTTTCCTGTTCCTACCGACAGCTCAAAAGGGCTCTGATGGCACCATCATTCCCAACGACTACTGTGACTTTTGCTTGGGAGACCAGGACGCTAACAGGAAGACAGGTCAGGCAGAGGAGTTGGTGTCCTGCTCCGACTGTGGGCGTTCTGGTGAGTCTGCATCAACGATTATTTTGCTCCAGGGAACAACGCAACAGATTTATCATTTTTTTTAAAAAGCAAGCCCCCAACTGGGAGAACAATTAAAAAAAACTTTAAAGTAGTGTTTTCCTAATTCAGTTTCCTCCTCAGAAATTTATTTAGTTTTTTCTTTTTTGTCTCCAAAAAATGTTGCTGTTTGTCATAGAAGGTGTAGTATCAGAGAAAGATAACCAAAGAAAATACAAAATGGTGTTTTCCAATTATTCTTTTTATTAAGGCGGAGGTACACAGGGATTTACATTGATGTAGATTCATTTCGGCTCACTTGTCTTGTTTAAAGTTTGCTGTATTTTTGTAAATACAGCCTGATGATGGTCAACGCACAGCATCTCACTCACATTTAAGTCATAACTTTGATTAGGCTGCTCTAAACCTCTCACTCACTTACTTATGTTAAGTTATTTAGACATGAACGCTGATGGTAGGGTATATTTCTTAAGGAATTTTCTGCTAGATGCCATAATTTAGATTTCCAGTTATTGTTATTTTCACAATGCTGCCTCTAACATGTTTTACAGTAGGGCTTATTTTCCTGGGTTATCTGTAGTGTAAGTATTCAACCTTTTTTTGGTCTGTCACATATCTCAATTAACAGAAACAGAAGTATTTTTATTTTATACCTTTTTAAGGCTTTATTCTGTGATGTATTGGATCTTGATAAATGGGTACAGATGATGGTTTTAAGGATTTATTCTTTGTATTAAATAAGATATTCTATAAATTAATTTGATAAGTGCAATAGCATGTTTACACGGGTCAAAAGAGATCAATTGTAAATCAATCAATAAACTAGAGTATTTGTGTTACTTAAAGGTATAGTGGAGGATTTTCGTGAATTTTTGAAAAGACCCGCCCCCTCCACTTTAAAAAAAAGGCAGACGGACAAACCAGTACCCGCTCCCGAGACAAAAGGCGTGTAAAGAGTGTGCGAGAGCATGCACGTACCCATTGCCTTATGCACGCTCTATTACTGTGCCCGAACCGCTGCTCTAACCCCTCAATCCCTCAATCACTATATAGAGCAGGGTCTATATAGTGGACTTTATAGTGAACTATTTATAGTGGAGAGATGGTCACTACTTTTTGCTCCCCATTGGTCACATAACTCCTCCTCATCCGTCCCTTGCCATCTTTGTTATTAGTCACCATTGTAGGGTAGGGACAGCCTATGGTGACATTGGAAGTGAAAGCAAATAACATAATGCTTTGTGCGGGGAGCTCTCCGTGCAAAGCATTATGGGATATATATCTGCCTCTTCTGAGGCCTTTCTTTTCTTCTCATACACTTCGTACACACTTTTTCTGTTGCAACCCTCGGCCATTTTCAAAGCACTGCGATGAGTAAGTAAAGCTTTAATGACTGTCTGAAACCGTATCTCACCACAGATATTCAGCTGAAAGTGTAGATGAGCAGAAAAAGATAGCTAACTGGGAACATATCACCAGAATGATTGACAATTAGGAGGACCACTTATTTAGATGATCCACCCGGAAAAACAACATCCTCCACTATACATTTCAGAAAGAAACTTCTTATTAAAAAATGTCAATCCAAGCTTCTTTGTGTTTGTTCCTTCTTCTTACCATGCTGCTCCTCCGAAGGCCACCCCACATGTTTGCAGTTCACAGAAAACATGATGCAGGCGGTGAGGACGTATCAGTGGCAGTGCATCGAGTGCAAGTCCTGCAGCCTGTGTGGTACCTCTGAGAATGACGTGCGTATCATCAAGCAAAAGCTTTTGCTGTCGAACCTCTGACCAAAAACGCCTTTCCTTTAATGATATTGAGTGTGTGTGTTTCATTCAGGACCAGTTGCTGTTCTGTGATGACTGTGATCGAGGATATCACATGTACTGCTTGAAACCTCCCATGACTCAGCCTCCTGAAGGTGAGAGCTGCTTTTTAAGGTTTTTAACTGAAGACATTAGAGGACTCAAACTATATACAGCTGTGCTTAAACGTTTAAATGGCAGTTAACAGGTTACTTGGTTCACTGTTCACAGTTTTTTTTTGTATCTTTCTTAAAATAAAAATTCTAAATAGATGTATTTTATTTTACTAAATTATAATTTAGTCATTTTTTATAGATTTTTTTCTTGTTTTTTGTTTTCCGTTATTGGAATTACTAGTGTGCATTTTTAATTTTCTTTAACGGGAGGATGTACAAACTGTAAGTCATGCTTTATGCATGAGAGACGCTTCAGGCTTTACATGGAAAGGAGAAAAGGAAATGATTTGTTATTGTGTCTTACAGGGAGCTGGAGCTGTCACCTGTGTCTGGACCTGTTAAAAGACAAGGCCTCAGCCCACATAGAAGCATAATTGGAACCAGCGACTTATTCTTACAATACACAGTGTCATGGAAAAGATGGCTGATCCCCCTTAAACCTTTATGCTCATTTTAAAATTACAGACAAATAATATTTTTTATAGATTAAATGTCACTTCAAGCTTTTTTTTTTAGCAGAAATCGTTGCAAAACCCTCAAAAGGTGTGCAGTGCATATGTTTTCAATGCCCATACTCAAAAGTTTGGGTAAATACTTTTTACTTTTTGGTTAGTCTTATGCAGCCTCTAGCTGGTTTTTATTCAGTTGTTTATTTTGTGCTGTCCATCTTCCAATTAACTCTCAGCTTCCCTGGCCATGCTGAAGAAAAGCATTGTTCCACCCCACCTCGTTTCATCATGGTGATGGTGTTTATGGGGCGATGCGCACTGTCAGTATTTTGACACATGTAATGTATATATGTTCCAGAAGCTTTTGTTTTGGTTTCCCTCTGACTTAGAGCTCGTTGTTTGACATGTTTTCAGCGTCAGCTTCATGGCTTTTGTCAAAATGAAGCAGCTTTTTTTGTTGCTTTCTATCTACAGTGTCATTATACCTCCCTTTCGTCTTTAAGGGCAGATTTCTTGATGGATACCAATAGGTGTTGTTTTAATAGATTGTCCTTCCTGATGCCTGAAGCTCCTCCAGAGTCACCGCCTTCTTCACTGCTTCTTTGGTTAATGCTCTCTGTTTAGTTGGATGGCCCTCGCAAAATATATGTCCCATCTTAAAGGTATAGAGGACGATTTTTGCAAACTTTTGAAAGGACCCCCCTCTCCAATTTTTAAACAATTGCACATGTACAACCCTGTACCTGCTCAGGAGAGGGAACGTCTATTATTTGCATGCGAGAGCGTGCACAAGCCCATTTCTCCTCGTGAATGCTCTGTTTAAAAGTTGCTGTTTGCATCGCTCATACAAGCTTACTTTCCAAAAGAAGATTTGCAAATTTTCTGCTATGTTAGACTCACCACCGGTGAGTGAAAATGGGGATGAGCAGTTAGGACGGCCTTATGTAAACATATCACCAGAGACATTGACAATTAGGAGGACCACTTATTTTTATGATCCACCCAGAAAAAGAACTTCCTCCACTATACCTTTAAGATGATGGAATGAATAGTGCTCAATGAGATGTTTGAAGAACTTTTTTCAGCTTTTATCTTCTCAACAATTGTTGTATTTCTTGTATCGTTTCTCTTTTATCAGGATTTAAAGAGTAGAAAACAGCTCTTCTCCTAACAAAGTGTTCCCAACTGTATTAATACTCACCTTTAGCTGCACATGATTTTATGTAAAGATATGAATGAAAACTCATATAATCCTAATACAAAAAATTGGGGGAGTTAAAGGCTGAATACTTTTTTGCAAGGCCCTGTACACAAAAAGTGTTTGTTATTACATATTAGCAGTTCAATGTACCGTATGCACATGAGTGGAGAAACCCTTTCTAAACAGGCTTTAAAAATGCAGGGACTTCAGACAGCTCATGAAACCACCCCACATGCACACATTCCAGCACATTAGCAGGCACAGGGCAGCTTCCTGTTTAAGGAGACGAAACCTTTTTCCTCCCATTTAGCAAAGCAATACTCCACAGATGCATATGTCATCAGAGTGCAACCTCAACCACAGGTCAACGAAAAGCAAGTCTGCCGTTTAAATACATCTCTACCTCACCAAGTGGAAGTCAAGGAGCCAATGCAGGATTGTTAACCCATTTTAGTACCTGTCTGTTGAATTTAGATGCTAATTTGAAAACAAACCTATTTAGGATGTTTAGAAGGTGTTTGCTAAAGCCCTACCACCTTCTTTTCTTTCTGCTCTGAGGTTTCCAGCTGAGAAAAACCCGGATCACTTTGACTGATGTTTGTTTAAAGTGTCCCTCCAGCTCGCCAGCTCCACTGCTGTGTTTAGACTCTGCAGTGACATTTCTGTTTTATATCTGGAAAGATTCTGCACCAGTTTCCCCCATGTTTCACAAGGGTTTTGTCAAGCCATGAATTTACATCAAAAGCCAGAGGAAAGAAGGGATTAAAAAAACCCTCATCTGTCGTTCATTTTTTAAATCCATGCCTGTTTTCTGTACGAGTAGAGTTAGTGGTGTTTGTGGTGCTCACTGGTGACTTCAAACAGATGAATTTACCTTTACTTGTAATTATGAATCTGTCGTTGATAATAGGTCAGTCTTGCTGTCAGTGACTTCATTCAGTATAAATCATAGTTCTCCAAACTGTTATTGTTCCTATCTTAACAAAACACTATTTACACTATAGCTGTGTCATCTTGTTAAAAAAAGCACGGCTTAGATCTTGTCTAAACTCTAAAGGAATGCAAACAAAACTGCCAAAAAACAAAAACATCTGTTGTATCATCACTAAAGCAAAGCTTTACTCTGGTTATGTTTTAAAAATGTACAAACCCTTAAATCTTTCCCTTCTGTCTCTTTTAAAATGTTTAATCATTCTGTTAAACTCCAGGATAAACTTGCATTTCATTAGCAATTTAGTATGAAGTAAATATTTTACCCATTTTAAGCTCAGGAAAACAAGCATAGGAATAGAGCAACTTAAACCTATAATCCTGAAGAAAAAAAAGTTAGGCAGAGAATAAAAAAAAAAAAAGTTTTTCTGCATGATGTAGGTGTTTGGACGGAGACAGCGCCAAAAACTGGCTGATTCTCTTTCTTATGATCATTTCTGTATTGATTTAGTCATTTTTTTAAGCATCATTATCTTAGCTAAGATAACTGCAACAAAAGATGGATTTATTACAAAGATTTTAACATGTCGGCTGCAGAGAGTCTGTGTAAAGGAAGCAACAATCTGGAATTATTCATTATTAAACTGCTGTTTTGTCATTTTAAGATGATCAAAACAAAAATCCAAGACGTTATTACCTTGCAAGACATGTGTTCAATATATTAAGTTGGTGAGCTGTGCTAAGTCACAGGTTTTTTCAGTCTGAAAACAATCAGGTAACATTCTACACCTTTAGAAAATCCTTTCTTCATATTGTATCTATAACTAATGATCAATAAATCTGCCTTCCTATATGAGGATGTTTATCACAAATCTGTAGCCACTGCTGTAAATCGCAAAACATGTAAATGTAAACCTCAACCTCAGGCTATAAAAAAACATTTACTGCAGTGCTCATGCTGAAAAATCTGTGAGATGGAGTTATGTTTGTTTAAAAGGACAAGAACTTCTTTCGGTTTATGTAAAAAGAATAATTATTGTAATATTTTAAGGTTTTTCCAAAATGAAGTCTGACCAATAAGCAACAAAACAGAGAAAAAAACGAGAACAAATATGTGTATTTGTGTCATTGTGAGTTTGTTTTTGATACCGTTTTATAATGACAATCAAAATGTAGCAAAGAAACAGTATGTTTATGTTTATAACACACAAAAAAATGTTTTTTATTACACTAGATGTTTGTTCTTTTTCTTAAAAAAACACTAAGGGGAGTTTTTCTGCTATAATTGTATCTGTACATGGAGTCAGAATTTGTGCATTATTTTGTTAAACTTAACTGTTCAGTTTGTCTCTTAATAAAGACTTCTCTATAATTCTTGTTTGATGTTATGATATCTTTAATCCTAGTGGTCTGGCTGTCCATAAATGATTTTCATCTGTGGTTTCAGAATATTTGACTTTTTTAAGCTTAATAAAAATTTTTAGTGCTGCTAATATCTAAACCATCTTTTAAAGTTAAATAATTCAGCATGAAAACTTTGCCTAAAATGTTATCCTGATCAGCCAGGCTGACCTAAATGGCATTAATCAGTCTGGTTGGCCAGGTTGCCTTGCTGTTCCTCGTAGTGTTATTTTAATGCATAACCACTAGAGGGCAGTACTGACCTGCTAAAACTCTGCATACAGTGGTTCTCAAACCTTTTATCACAGGTACCACATTGGTAAACCCCACTTCTTGAAACTACATCTTAGTTTTGAACATGGGGATTTTTGCTTTATCTTCCTTTAAATCCAGCATTGCTGCCTTGCATGTAAAACAAGTGCAGTAAAAAAAAGTTAATCTATGCTTCACTGACTACCTTTTATCATGTTTGTATAGCATTTAAGATTACCAAATGTAGAAAATGTACAAGATTACTAGGGGTTTTGCATTTTTATTTGCCTTTCAGCCATATTAATTATCAAGTCCCCCTGAATCTTTTTGGAACTAGGAATGTAGTTAAATTGGGTTAAATGTAGTTCCCATAGTTATGTCAAAGGTACACTTAAAGCTTCAGAAAAGTCATCAACCAATGTATTGATTCAATGCTGTCTGCATTAGTTTTAATGGACATTTATAAATTATTTTCATTGCAAAGGTTTTAAATACATGAAGCCTAGTAACTACCTTAATCTTACCCTGGTGCTGTTGACACACTTAACTCTGATTCTGTTTTACTTTGTCTCTCTCTTTGAAAAAGCCACTGAGGAAATGGTTACTGAAATGGTTACTGCATTTGATCACTCTTAAAGATAATTATCTTGATAATGAACATCAAAAACAACAAATCTAACCTCAAATGTCTGCCTTATTAAGCAGGATTGTGGGTTTAATCCTGGTATGAGTTCACATGACTGATGAACTCTCCCCTCCTCCTACTTGAATGTGTCCATTGATGTAAAGTGCAGGTGGTTGATCTGCCTTTTGCACACAGTCTGTCAAATGTCTGTATCTCCCTGGATACAAAAAACAATTTGAAGTTTAATTTAACAGGGAAAGCAGTACTTTACCTTTGTCTTTTGATTTTATTCTCAGTACTGCTTGTGGCTGATGGTACTCACATTGAGCCTAGTACTACTGTATGCTTAAGGCAAATTTTCTCCCCACTGTTTCTACATGCATGCTCAATATAATGGATGGCTAAAAGGTCATTAACGGCATGCAGGCATCCATCTATTGACATATACCTGTTCGGGAGACACGATTATTATAATGCTTTGTATTTCTGTAAATTTATTATATTTTTGCTATAAAGCGCCTTGAGATGTAATTTGTTGCACCTAAATAAAATAGAAAAGGAGTTTTAGCGTTGTGGGTAAGAGCAGTGCGTTTGTGTTCTGAGAGGTCTGCAAGTACTCGGTTCCCCACAGCCTTAACTCTGGGTTCCTGACCAAAATCTTTGACTCCAAACCAGAGAGTGAAATTCTCCAGCATGAGATCAATAAAGTACAATTATTATTATAAACATTAACCAGGACACCATGTTTTTTAGTGCTGACCTTCTGTAGACTATAACATATTGAGACAGCATCAATATGGTCAAATAAAGAACTAGAAAAATAGATAGTTATTTTAGTCTATATTTAAATAAAATAATATTGAATAATATTCACTGTTTAATTGTAAATTAAACAGTAAGAAAACTACTTTTGTCATTATAATTGTGAATCAAAGTATTTTTAGTTGGAGTTTAATGGTGTGTTTACTGTAATATTTGAATTAATTTAAACAACATGCACCATCTCAAATAGAGCGTCCACATATTTTAAAATACATACCTTTATTTAATGGGACATTCATTATACATTTTGGTACTCCTTATACATCAAGGATCACATCTCAGTGATTGTGAAAACGATTGAAGAGGACGTAGTCTGTGACCAGGAGCTATCTAAATCTTCAAATGTAGGACCTTTTGTTATTTGAATTTTAAAAAGTTTTTTTTAGGAGCTTAAGGGACCCTGGTTATATTGAAGTCGTCATCTCTCTGTTTGTCTCAGCAGGTTGTACTCATTTCTGTGACAAAGGACATGAAAGTTGCAGTGGGGAAGCTGGGATTTGTTATGAGCTCCTCCAACAACTGTTTTCCTCTCTCTCTGGTGGTCAGCGAACACATCGCTCCTTTCCACATACGAACCATAGACCCACCTAGATGGAGATAAGATCATTTTTAACCTTTGCGGCTTAGTAATCTAAACTGAAAATGTTTTAGCATATTATTGTGTCTCCTACCAAGAAGGGTGTTGATGTTTCTCATCCAGGCAAAAACAGACAGTGAGTAGTTTTCCTCCGCACTCAGATCAGGAATATTTGGAGCTACATCCCCGTTCTATAGGTAGGAGTAAAATAGAATGACAAAAAACATTATGTACATTTGGAAAAATAGACATTTTAATGGGAAATGCTTCAGCTAAGATGTACACACTCGTAAAATACGGCCTGGCAGAGGATTCAGGAAGAGCAAAGACTTTTCCAGGTTGGAATGGAAATGAGCTGCTGCAACATACTCTGCAGAGTTCAACCAGCTGTTGGCAAATGACTGCTCCTCAGATGAATAGTGGCTCTTCCTGCAGAATAAACAAAAGACGTGAGACATGAGTTTAGAAAGCTGAAAAATTAATTTAGACTGTAGATGCCCAGCATAGGATCTGACCTTGAATACAGATGTCAGCAAACAACAGGAGATAGAGCCATGCTACTGTCAGAGCATTCTACAGTCTACTGCTTAAGCGTTAAATTGAGAGGCCAAAATGTCAATTTTTCATTATACCTAAGTATATTGTGATATATTTCATATCAAGATGTAGGGTGCAATAACAATGCTTGTCTACAGGGTCTGCCTATTTCTTAGGCTTTAGACTGAGATATTTTCTGTGCAACTTCTTCATAAAATCACATGTAACATTATCACCTTTAAAGAAGCAAGCTTTGATTTTTTCCAATCTGAGTTATTAAAAAGATTTTTGAAAGACCTGAGAAAAAAAAAAAAGGAATTTGAACTGCAAAGATGAATGATGGATTACTTGGCGTCGCATGCTGCAGAGGCGTAGGTTGAAGCCATTTGAGCTTCCCAGTAGACACCGAGAATGGAGTCTTTCTTCTCGGCATCAGGCAGGGTAGACTCAGTGGTCGCCTTGAGAGCCTTAAAGGACGCACATTGACCATTAATGATGAACAGTACGGCTCATTAACTTAAAATATCATCATCAAGCTTGATTTATTTAAGTAGCTCAAAGATTAAAATTTAACTCAATACATTTATATCAATACATTCCATACATGTATTTCTGTATTTACTTCTGATCATTGCTTACAGTGGATTTTAACTCAAACAAAAAAGCAGTGTAAATATGGAAGGAGTGTTTGAGAGTTTTCCCCTGAAAAAACAGGGTCAGTTAACCAGAGATGGGTCTTCAACCAGTGCTGCATCCATGCACTGTGGAAAGCTTAGTGGAAGGAGAATGTGGGTTGAAAAAGCTGCTCACCACAGAAACAGGCATGACAAAATTGTGAAGCAAATTCAAGTGTTTTGAGGAAATAGATCAACTGTGATCGGGCCTCTAATGTTAAGCTACTCCTAAATAACAAATAACATCCAAAACATAGGACTGGACATCTGATCGGTTGTCCAAAGTTCATTTAGTTTGCTAAGCCAGCACCTGGTGTTTGTTCACTCTACTGACATATAGGCAAAAATACCGAATAACCTGATTTAAAGGCAACAATATCACTGTGCTTTATTGGCCAGTGAAACTAGACCCACACCTCAGACAAAGTCTATAGGATATTTTAGAGGTGAAAAAACACCAGATCCAACTGTGCAGATGGGTTGAAGGAAGGTTCTCAGAAACCTGAACTTCCATGAATCCTCAGCTGAGCCACAGGGAAGTTTCCACCATGCCACACTGCACTGATCTAGTAATTCATGCAAAGGAGCCTCGACTAAGTAATGGGAGCTTAGACTGAAGGCTAACATTTATATACTGAAGATAAGTTTTTGTAAACTAAGCCAATAACTTTCAGTTTTCATAGCTGTTAGCCAGAATTATCCAGAAATAATAGCTTTGAATGTGTCCCTTTGTCTTCATGGACGACCCTGTCTGTCATATACAAGTTTGACTTTTTAATTAAATCAACAAAATCGATTAACTGTATATTTATTGTCAAGTGGGAAATATCTCCATTAATTTCTGTCTGAGACTAATTCCCTTTATTGAATTTGAAAAACAAATCTGTCTAAAGTGTAATTTTTGATCATGTATAAAGTGGTTCCAGAGGGCTTTAAATACCTGGAAAAATGCATCCCACTTGGCCATTGCATCAGGGTAACTGGTTGAACATCCAGCATAGGTAGTACAAAAACCCTCTGCACCAGCAGGTGCCTGCATCTGGACCTGGTAACATTATAAGAATCATTGCAGTTAGCCTTATCAATATGCATGCATCTTGTAAGATAGCAGAAGATCAAAATAACCTGAATGTTTTCTCCCAAGAAACCTTGTTGTGCAGCAGACAGGAAGGGAAGTGATGAGGAGAAGTAGGTCATGCCTGAAATAAAAAAGGCCTAAAGAGTTAGCAATCTCTTCTGTGAGTGCTCTGAGTTGCAATGTTTATCAGAAACACTTACAGCCCCACAGGCTCTCAGGTGAAATACACATAGTGTCTCCTGTTTGCAATCCGCAGGTTGTTATACCAGTTGGGTCACTAAGGCGACCTGCAGAAGCATAACATTTAAATTATATTTTGAACTATTTGACACTTTCTAAATAGTAAAAACAGGAAATAAAAGACAAATTGCCAACTTACCTGAGGTTAGCATCCATCCAAGCTGCA